TCTATATCATCTATATCTATGTCTATTTACGTGCATACACACACACACACACACACACACACACACACACACATACACACCTCCCATGGAAATGTCAAGAGGAATTAAGCATGCCCTGGATATAAAGAGAAGAGACAAGGAGTCAATAACAAATGCTTATTTAGAAAGTGCCACATACAGTAAGGTAATTAGAACCTAACATCTGGAGAAAATGCAAACAGTGTTTAATGCTGGCATGTACCAAGAGACCCGCAAAAATGATCAATGCGTCTGAGGAGCTGGGGTCCTATTTATAGGATGAAAGTCTTGGAAGGCTCTCTCAGCAGGAATAGTATTAATTAAGTGGTGATAACACAGAAAGGAGAAGAAACTGGGGTGCGGAGGGGGCACAGGAAGTATAAAGAGTAAATACTCTCCAGGTTTCTTCTCTGCTGAGAACAAAGTGCATGGAGAGGGCAAGGATATAACAATGAACTGAATTGGATATTCCAAGTTTAAAAAACAAAACAAAACAAAACACCTTTTTTTTTTTTCTTATTTTCCTCCCAATGAATTCTACTTGGGATTTTGTATTCTTTAATCCTCGAAGATGTTCTATAACAGCTCATGTAGGGAGAGCAGCTAAGGCTGGTTGGGGGTGACAGACACACACTGCCGACAGACACATGCAGAGTATAAAGAAGTTTTCTTTTTAGGCAGAATACCAATAAACTCAGTGAGAATTTAAGATTGAGACTAAGATTTCAGCGTCGATTTTGTTTTTCTTTGTTACATTTGTAGTAGTTCTTTCCATCACCCTATACATCCTAGTTGCTCATTTCAGGTGCATGTAAATCATCCTTTCTCATAGACGATTACATGTATGTGGCCAATAAACCACCACTGACACCAAGGCTTGGATTTATCGAGGGCTGGGGTGGGGAGCACTCTCCCTGGAGACACGGTGATAGACAGCTAGCCTGCCTCTCCTCCGGCACCAGGATCCACTTATCCTTATACTTCTGGGCCTATCTCTTCTCCCAGAGGCCAGGTGTAGGGCTCCTTTGCAAGAGGGTATGCATGAGCTAGGACAATACCTGGGAGCAGGCTTTCTAGGTCTCTGAGTCAAGATTTCCTAGACTGCCTTATGATGAGATTATAGTTTTTACTGTAACAGACGTATACAAGGAAAGCTGCCATCATTTACAGCAGGCTTGCAGAGAAACAGCCAATGGATGATCATTAATTTAAACTGTAAATAAGGGCCTGTTTTGTTCTGGACTCTGATCCCAGGAATGCCCCTAACAAGCTGTCTGCAAAGCCAGGGCATCGTGCCCGCTGTTGGAGCCACGTTGATTGAAGAACTGTTCTTGTCCTTACAAGCAGCTAAAAATAGCAATAAGGATGTGAAGGCAAAACAGGTTTCTGGGAATGCAAGGCAGTTACCCTGATGTCAGTTTTATTCCAGTTGCTCCCACTGCTGTGAAAAGCAGAGAGACATATCTGGTACAAAAGATGTTAACTTGCTCGATAGCACCCTAGAGACGGAAAATAATTAATACAACCCTCTAAAGGAGTCTGCCTTTTCACTGGAGGACACAGAAGTCCTAGAAGAACTGGAGCGAACTTGAGTGCCTTTGTCCTGCATAATTAATAGAGCCTGATATTTCTTTATCTCTTCTTCTTTTTTCACTTTGTTTAAAAAATATAAACTCTCACTGATTGGGGGAAATATACTCACACTTAAAATGTTGTACAGGTACTACGTCTTTGGTTAGAGTATGTCCCTTTTGGTGTGTGTGGGGGGGAGTGCATATTTCATGGTGATAAATTCACCTCCTAAGTAGAAAAACTGTACACAAATATACTGCTATGTCAACTTTATTGATTTTTGCACCATTGTAAAGGCCTTCATCGTCCTCCAATATTTCTTAAATCTATCAGCATCTCAGAAAGTGACCCTGAAGGCCTCATTTATCTGTACAGGAAAAGAACCCTCTGCTTAGGTCCACCCATAAACAGTGTGACTGAAACAGCTCAGGCCCACCTCTGCTTCTAGAAGAGGAGCAGAGAAACCTGTTCTCCTAGTCATGGGCGATGACTGCTCCTTCTCTGGAAATAGGGTCTGCTAGGTTTTAATTTTAGCTAAATGCCATGGCTGGGGACTTTTCAGAGTCTCAAAGATAACAACAGACTAAGTATGCAGCAGTTAGTGCTGCATGCTGATGACTCACAGGGAGGGGCATGAGTGGATCAGAGTGCAGGTTTCCTGGCTGTGTTCCCTCTAAACTTCCCTTCTCACTTTAGGAGCCGTGCCCGGGCTTGCGAGTCTCACTTTCCAAGATCCGCTCCTGCACACAATGCTGGAGTCACTTACTGGGCTGCTACAGAAAATCCTATGCTCACACTGAGTATCTGGCATTTTATCTTTTTTAAAAATCATTTACCTCTCTAACAGCATCAATAAAACAGGGACTTATTACTAGGTTAGAACAATTCTAAGGTCTCTTCCAACTATACATTCCTTTTTCCCCCCTCTATCACTTTGCAAAGCGGAAAATGTAAATATCACACCCAAAGTCATCTGTTAGGTGGAAAAAGAGTCAAAGGAACTTTCAATGTCAGAAAGTCACATTCCACTTTTTACTAGAATACAGGACCTTTGAGGGGCACCTGGGTGGCTCAGTCAATTAAGTGTCTGACTTCGGCCCAGGTCATGATCCCGCGGTTCGTGTGTTTGAGTCCCACGTCGGGCTCTGTGCTCACAGCCAGCTCAGAGCCTGGAGCTTGTTTCAGATTCTGTATCTCCCTCTTTCTCTGACCTTCCTCTGCTCATGCTGTTGTGCGCATGCACGCGCTCTCTCTCTCTCAGAAATAAATAAAACATTAAAAAATTAAAAAAAAGAAGAATACAGGACCTTTGAAGGTGGAATGCTGACTTATTTCTTTTTGTATCCTATGATGCCTACAGATTGTTGACTCTTAACTGAAATTATTTAAAAATGTGAAACTAGAGGAGAAATCAATAGGCGATATAAGAATTGATTCAAAGCTAACAAACAACTCGATCTCATTATAAAACTAAAGGATGTAAGTTCAGTCCTCAATTTAGGACTGTATACAGCAGGTCAAACTGTTTAGATGTAATTGCTGATGACGAACCAATAATTAGCCAGTGAGGGGAAGACGAGGACATTCAGCATACATCTCTACACTTGTGAGGCTGACATTATCGAGCTATGCTGTCTACTACTGGGGTCATCAGCTACAGGTGGTTATCTACATTTAAGTTAATTAAAGTTAAATTAGAGTTAAAATCCAGTTCTTCACTCATACTAGCTATATTTCAAATACTCAACAGCCACAAGTGGCCAATGACCAAGGTATTGGACAGCTTAAAGGAAAACTTCATCATTACAGAAAGTTCTACTGAACATTGCTATTTAGGGAGGGAGGATAATCACTACTCTTACTTCTAATAATTATATAAAGAAGGAGGAAGAGGCACATGAGAAAAAAATAATAAAGAGAAAACATTGATAGAACCATAACTGTTTTGTGCTAAACATGCGAAATGCCTTATTTCATATAATGGTTACAATTATTCACATGAGGTTGGAACTGTAATTATCCCTATTTTAAATTCTGTGACACTGCTTATACAGATTAAGTCAATCACCACAGTTTATACACTTGTTAACTGGGTTAGCTGGGTTTGCATTCAAGCCATATGACACCAGCGTCTATGTACACTGCTTCTACTGAAGAATTTGAAATGTTTAGGGCCAGAGAGAATGTCACACTTTACAAAAGTGGTTCTCAATCCTAGATACATACCAGAAGCATGTATGTATGCTGGGAGCTTGCTCAAGGGACAGTTACTTGAGCCCTAATCCAGAGCAATGGGGTTAAGACCAGGGCTTGCACATTTGGGGATCAACTAGTGCTTTGGATATGTTGCCAGAGTTGAGGAATGATGGTTCAGCAATGTTCTCATCCACCTCCCAGAGTTCAGAATCCAAAATGCAGAACCTAGCTGAGGTCACTAACACTTAACTGTTGACAAATCTAAAATGAGAACCTGGATATCAGTGCTACCATCAATATGGCTTATGACATATTAATGGACAGCAATTTCCTATTTCCAGTTGAATACTGTTACTTTGCAGTTCACACAACACTTAGAAACTATGTGTCAGAATTCAGAATCTGACAGTGCAGGTTTACAAACACCAAAGAACTGATGTAGTGCTACTCTCCTCCTGAGACAAGTAAGTCTTTCTCATTGAAAAGTAAATGTTTTCTCCTTTGAGAACATAACATCTCTCATTGAAGAGGAGATAAACACTCTCACAAGGAGCAGTAAAACAGAGGAAACAATATGGCTGCCAACCAAGAAACCTGAATTCTAGTTCCAACTGTGCCAATAACTCTGCAATGGGGCAAAGCATTAGCTTTCGTTGAACCTTAATTTCCTCATCTATAAAATTAGGGTGTAGTTTATGACAATCTTCAAGGTCCCTTCCAGCAGTGTCTCCACACTGACATTTGTGTGCAGGCTGAATAAACGTTAGAAATGAAATGTCCAACCTGCTACCAGAGGACACATTCACTTCACTTCAATTCTAGTTAATTTACTCATGTCAGGAGGAAACAGGAGGACTTCAGATGAAGACCCCACCTCTTCTTCTATCTTGTCAAGCCTCATTCTGGTTTTCGTGACTGACTAGCCAGAGCTCTTATGAGAGACAGCAGCATCCACTCAAGGAGCCCTATTCTTTGGAGTTGCCTTTCAGAAATGGTAATGATATGCCTACCTCTCACCCTCCTACATTCACAGCTGTTGCTCTGGAAATTACGAGAAGTCAGACATTTTATCACCTTCACATCCATCAACTCATCTTTACACCTCTCCTCCCAGATTAACTGTAAAATAATGGATTTTTAGCTAGCTGGAGAGGCTAGCCAACCAAGACAGAAGTCACATCATGAGGTAGCAGTGCGGTGAAGACACATCTTACCTTACGCTTGTTGGTAGGACACACGTAGAGATAGCTTAATATTGTTTTCAACCCAACTTTATCATTCAGCTTCTCATAGGTTGTTCCATAATCAGTTGACCTATAATTCAAAAGGAGCATTAATGAGGACAGAAGTATACGTCATTTGGCTGCTTGTCAGTATAATGCATGTTTTACATAGTAGAATGGCTCTCAGGAGGTTTCTAGATGATTCATGTAGTATATAATGATGCTTAATTATGTACACAGTAGCATCATGTGAGTGGTTAACATTTGCATTTAAATTGAATTGGTAAAAATTAAAACTCCATCTCTTTACTGCTCCTTAATGTATGTACTCTGCATAAAATATGTGGTTAATTTTAAAAGATTAAGAGATGAGAGTGTCTCTTGAATTGACCACAAAAATAAAGAGTTTTTACAGAGATTTGACATTTTCAAACTTTTGCTTTATGTCCGGCACAGTGAAAAAGCAGGTTCTTGTGATTTATCTACAAATTGTGTTTCCTTTCATGAGTCATAGAATATATAGTGGATCAGTCCCTTCAAAGGTCATTCAGTCTTTTCCTATTATTTAAGAGTAAGAAAGCGTCTTAATAGTAAGTGAAATTTCACAATCTTATCTGGTGGCCTTTTCTGGTGTTAAGCAGCCTTCAGTTGGGAGGAATTACTTCTCAGCACTGACCCTGTCTATTTGGGAGATTTTCTCATCTTTAGCTAGCCCTTGGTCAATAACTTATTAATTCTGACTGAATCAATAGGCTTTAATCACCTTCTCTATCAAACTTTATTACATATTTCAGAACTGTAATCTTATTAGATCATCATTACAACTGTGTGCAGGAGGGAATATTATGTGTCTTTGAAGTAAATGGTTGACAGCACTTAAGTGACCTATTCAAAGAAAACAGCTGATAAATTACTAGCTAGTATGTGAATCCAGGTGTTCTGGCCCTAAGTCCTGCACTGCTTACATTATACCACTGTTTGTTTGTTTAATTTGAAGGAAACATAATTTTCTCTTTGTCTTCTTTTTACGTATAGGAGATTCCCAATTCATTCATTCATTCATCCACATTTGTAGAACTAAAAGATACCAAACCTGTGCCATGTATCACGGTACAACACAATCCCCCACTCTCAAAATCTAACAACTTTATTTGAGTGGCAGAAATATAAGGTTATATTGGGCTCCTGGCTGATAACATGGAGCCTGCTTTGGATTCTCTCTTTCTCTCTTTCTGTCCCTCCCCTGCTCATGCACGCTCTCCCTCTAAAATACATAAACATTTTTTTAAGAAGAATTAACAAGGCTTATAAAATAAAGTTGGCTTAATTAGACACATAAATATGTAACCATTTTAATTAATTGTTGATATTTATAAAAGTTACAAATTCCTATAGGTTGTAAAGACTACAGAGAAGGAGTTTGTGGTAACACCCTCATTACCACACATTAAGAACTTACCCCGGACCAGGCACTGGAGCAAGAAAGCTGTATATGGGATCTTAGAATTAAGGAATTAAGAATTTATTCTGATTGGGGATCCAGGGCATTTTACCCCTAAAATTTATACACATATAAATTATATACGTGTGTGTGTGTGTATATATATACATATATAAAACTATATATTTAATATAAATATTATGAATATCTATATCTATAATTATATACAATTTATTATAAAATATTTATAATTCATAATATAAATCATAATTTGTTTATAGTAAGATAGATATTATAGATATAATGTATATCTAGAATTATCTGTAATATCTAGCTAATAATTATCTATAAATAAGCATATAGATATATTACTATATAACTTATATTATAAATTATAACTATTATATAATAATTATAAACAATTCTATAAGAGCACTTTAGAGAATTTAGATGATGCTCCAAATCAATGAAGATTGGGTATAATGTAAAGTTTCTTGGAAGAACTATTGCACTTGAAAATGGAAATTTGTAGGGTTTTAGGAAAGGGATGTAATCAAAGCATCATGAACTAGAGGGCACCTTGTGTTACCCAAATATATAACTGGATTCTGGACTAGCCTGTGTTCTTTCCCAACCAAACAAACAGTGACTTGATAGCCAAGAATATGTGAAGGGTATCCAAAACCTTCACAGATCTTATCCATGAACTACAACACACTTCTTTAGATACACCTTCTATATTCATCTTTTCCCCCTCAAACTTAAGCTGATGTGAAATTTCCTCCAGCTCTCCAAAAAATTTCTAAGACTTCTTTCTCCACTCATCCAATCTTAGTGTTTGGCATATTCCCTCTACCCCCACCCTGTGCCATCATAAACTGGCCTTACTATGTCAACTTCCTCTCATTATTAAGACTTGATTGTCTCTAAAATTTCACTGGCCTTTATCCAGCTCCTCTCATCAGATAACTACTTCTAATCATTATTTTGAACAATACTCACAAGTTAGGAACAAATAGATGCAAAATCTATCACGGGGGTGGCTATGGTAGGAGGACAGGGTGTGCAAATACTGCTACAGTGACAGGTGCTGCCTAGTCATAGGTGGACATCAGTAGGACTATGCTGGAGATGAGAGAATGGTTCAATTTTCCTGGTGGATAATGGGAATGGAGGCCAGAGAAGTAGGAACCAGTCTATTAAGGAGCAATGATGAGCTTCTCATCATTTTTATCAACTCAATCCTTAAGCTTTTCAACGAAGATGTTTACATTCAAAAATATATTCTACAGGGAAAATGAGGATGATCCCATAAGGACACTACATGGAATCACTCTTTTGTGTGCGTGTGTGTGTGTGTGTGTGTATTTAGCTGAAATCTCAATATAACAAGATGATAATAGAGTGACTAGCTTACATAAACATTGGTAACTTTTTTCAGAGAGTTTACAGTACGTTATTGGATACTTTCCCCTTATTATAATAACATCACCAGTCCAGATCCTTCAAGGTATCTGCCATTATTGTTTAACGCCATCTCTTGCCCCTTGAGCTTTCAAAGGTCAGAAACTGAATCAAAATTTGTTAATTCTCAATTTCAGCAGAGCTGCATGTTTAAGCATTATGGCATCATAATAACTGATAAATAGAGAGAAAATGATGCATTTCCACATACCCCAAAATGGAACAGACTAGCAGGTGTCAAAGGTTGTCCCACAGAACTAGAATTAGAGGGAGTGTTACATGTGTCCTGTGTAAAACTAACCATCAGCCAGGATACATTGGTTCAAGAGTACATAAGTAAAATACTTATTATTTCCAAACCAGTTGGTAAATAGTTACTGCACTAAGTTCTCTGAGTAGCATTTCTGCCAGCCTTAACACATGGCCTCTCCCTTGGAGACCTCCTGGATCTCCTCACAGTCCAGCAACCAAAAGACTGAAAGCTGGCACAGCAGAGGTCCTCAAGAAACTTGCTCAGCACTAAGGCGAGCACCTGCTCTGATTGGTTAGTGCCCACAGCAATCAGCCTGAGCCCTGGTGGAGGACACAGTGACCTTGGAGATGGCACTGCACCCTGGAAAGCAATTCCTAGTGCCCATCTGCAAACCCTCCTTCCCAACTAACAGATGCTTCCAGTTATCCTGGCATGGTCACCAGTGGGGACTGCAGCCCCCTGGGGATCTGGGCTCTGAAAGAGCAGACGACAGACAGACAGCTGAGCAGCAGGCTGGCTGGTGAGCCAATGTCCTGGCTGTTAGACATTTTAAGTATCATCCCTAGCTATGAGGGAGAGGAGTATTACCCAAGATAAAAAAAAACAAAAACAAAAACAAAACCCAAAAACATTAGGAAATGCTTGATTAGGCAAAATTTAATGCGCCTTTACTTCAAAATGTATAAATTATTCTCATACACATATATCTATTTATCATTTTAATCCATACTGTGAACCTCTTAAATGCATATTCCATGAAGCATTTACCAAACATATTTGATCACAGGATTCATTCTTGTGGGATACCTAATTAAATTAGTGTTCTGAGCAACATGCTTCAGAAAAGCATGTCAAAGGCCAAAGATAAAAGGCTAAAGAAAGATTATGAATTGTAGTTTTCTAAGAAAAGGGGAACAATAAAAATATTTAGACAAATCTGCAGAGAAAAGTGCCAGCCTATGCTAATCATAAAGTGACTGCTGTTTACAATAGCCAAATTATGGGAAGAGCCTAAATGTATATCAACTGACGAACGGATAAAGAAGATGTGGTTAATACAATCGAATACTATTTGGCAATGAGAAAGAATGAAATCCTGCCATTTGCTGCAATGTGAATGGAACTGGAAGCTATTATGGTAAGTGAAATAACTCAGTCAGAGAAACAGAGATATCATATGTTTTCACACGTATGTGGAACTTGAGAAATTTAACAGAAGACCATGGGGGAGGTGAAGGGGAAAAATAGTTACAAATAGAGAGGGAGGGAGGCATATCATAAGAGACTCATAGATAGAACAAACTGAGGGTTGATGGTGGGGGGTGGAGGAAGAGGGAAAATGGGTGATGGGCACTGAGGAGGGCACTTGTTTGGATGAGCACTGGGTGTTGTATGTAAGCGATGAACCACAGGCATCTACCCCCTAAACTAAGAGCACAAAGTAAACACTGGACAATAAATTATATTAAAAAAATAACAATAAAATTTTAAAAAGCGACTGTTGTCAAGGCCAAAAAAAAGTAATGTTAAAAAAATATAACACAAAGACAAGTATTTAAGCTGCATTAGAAGCAGCCTTGAATTCTCAACTTGTATCACTTTTTAAAACATTCCAAAGCAATTTTTTTCGAGTTCTGTTTATAGATTGACTTATATACAGATGAAAAACAGGCTTTCTGTCAACACCTGTGCTATGTAAGAAAAAGCTGAAAGCATTAAAAAAAGAAAGAAAGAAAAGAAGCTTTCCAGGAAAGTAAACATGCAGGTGATTAAATCAAGGTGCCTATGGTTTTGCTTTTGATCCTTAATCCTTACACCACCTTCTTGTAAACATATCTTGAAAAGTGACTTTTAGAACATTTGAAAGTATATCTTTATTTAAGTATTTACTATATTCAAAGAGCTGAAATGAGTTGCCCTGATGAATGGAGAA